AACAATTTTGGGGAGCTGTTGAGTGTTGTTCATGAGGCATCCACTTGGAAAGCTGGGCTGGTGGGGGGTTATTTTCTTCATGGAATTTTTGGAATGAATGACTCCCATCATCCCCTCACAGTCTAGTCCAGAAAAAGGCACAGAGGGAACTTGTCAGGATCCCAACTGGCACAACGCTGACCCCCAATGTCGATGCTGCATCATCGACGTTGCACAGGTCAGAGAAACAGCAGGTGACAGGATGTGTCATCCCGATGCCATCCACATCAGAGGGCTCGCAGACAGAGGAGCACATCTTGGTGACAGTCGAGACTCCCGTGTGGGGATAAACTATGGCAAAGAAAAAAAGCAGGAATAGTCAGGAATGGGAAAAACAGGGGGGAGAATCACCATTGTCTTTTGTCTCCTGATCGACCAGGAGTTGGTGTCATGGAATTAGAGAACGGTTTGGGTTGGAAAGGAACTTAAAGATTGTCAAATTCCAACCTCTCTGCCATGGGACACCTTCCACTATGCCAGGTTGCTCCAAGACCTGTCCAACCTGGCCTTGGACACTTCCAAGGATGGGGCACCGTGTCTTGTCCAGGAAACCTGTGCCAGGGCCTCCCCACCCTCCCCATCCATTTCTTCCTTATATCCTAAATCAAACTCACTAAAATCCCAATCTAAACTCACCTTCTTTAGGTTTAAAGCCATTCCCTGTTTCCCTATCACCACATGGCCCTGCAAAAAGTTAAAATCTCATTTCTGAGCATTAATCAGGAGCTTGAATTCACCAAATATTCCTTTGCACAAACACTGCTTCCCACAACAGCCTGAGAGCTGGAGCTCTCATAGGAATTCTTCTCCACTTTTTAAGTGGAAAGAGGAACTGGTCTCCACACTAGCACTGTCGAAGCACTGATTCCTGTTAAAAATTCCTGGAACAGCCATAGATTCTCTGTTAAAAGTATGGATGAAGAAGGAATTGTCCTTACCATCTTCCAGGGAATAGATTGTAGTCTTGCATATGGTCTCTTTTTCTGTGCAGTTCTCAATTTTCAAGCACTCCTGAACTGGGGTCAATTCCTTGCACGTGTAACATTGCAAGGAGTGTCCTATGAGGAGGGAAAACAGGAGGATGAAAAACATGAGGATGATCTCAGTGTGGATCCTCTCCAGGTATCTCTCAGGGGGGATTTTCCAAAATAATCATGCTGAGAGTGGGAATGGAATAATAGGAGGTGTTTGGGAATGAGAAACACAAAGGTCTGGCGGTCAAAGCACAGCCTCAGGTCGGGTTCAGACTCCTTGTGATGAGTCAAACAAGACAGAGCCACACACACAGGACTCCCTGTGACACAGGAAAGAGCTTGGGCTGATTTATTTCTCTGTTTTCTGGATCTACACATCTCCTTGACTTTAGCAGAGCATCAGAAAGTAATCTCAGACTCCCAAACTCCCAGAATCACACAATGGGGGAGGTTGGAAGGGGCCTCTGGAGCTCCACCAGCCCAATCCCTGCCCTCAAGCAGGACCCCCTAAAGCCTCTAATTCGGGGCTGTGTCCAGGTGGGGTTTTAATGTCTCCATGGATGGAGATTCCACAACTTCCCTGGGAAACCTCTGCCAGTGCTCAGTCAACCTCAGAGTCATAAAGTGTTTCCTGATGTTTCCTGTGTTTCAGTTTGTGTCCTTTGCCTGGTCCTGGCACTGGGAATCGCTGAAAGGAGCCTGGCTCTGTCCTCTTTGCTCTCTCCCTTCAGGAATTTACAGACATTTATAAGATTCCCAATCTGAACCTTCACTTCTCCAGCCTGAGAAGTCCCAGCTTTTCCTCAGAATTGTCCACCCAGCCCATGCCTTGTCCATGAGGATTTTGGAACAGGTTTCCTAAAGAGGTTGCAGATGCCCCCATCCCTGGAAGTGTCCAAGGCCAGGTTGGACAGAGCTTGGAGCAGCCTGGGATAGTGGAAGGTGTCCCTGCCATGGCAGGGGGTGGAACTGGATGATCTGTAGGTCCCTTCCAACCCAAACCATTCCCTGAATCCACAATCTTATAGGAGAGAGCATCAAAGTCCTTCCTGAAATCCAGGCAGAAAATATCCACAGCTCATCACTTGTCTACCAGGTCAGAAATTTGTCAGCTTGGTCAGGTTTGTCCCCTTGGTGAAGGATCTGGATACACATACAAAAAAAATTCAGATTTGGGCGTGTGTTGCAGCAGTGAGAATTTCCCCTGGTGCCATCCGCTCTGCCAGCTCTTCCCAAAGGCTGGGAGGGTGTCCCAGACAGAAGGAATTTATTTCCATCAAACTGAGAACAAATTGAGCACAACCCTTCCCCTTGTGCTGAGATTCTGGGTTTGTGAGAAGAATGTGTGAGGGGTTATTTTAAATCTTGGAACAGTTTGGGTTGGAAGAGACCTTAAAATCTTCCAGTTCCAACCCTCTGCCATGGGCAGGGACAACTTCTACTATTCCAGGTTGCTCCAAATCCTGTTCAACCTGGCCTTGGACACTTCCAGGCATGGAACAGCCACAGATTCTCTGGGAAAACCTGTGCCAGGACCTCACCACTGTTACTGAGAAGAATTAAACCAGACAGCATCTTCATGAATGGTTTGCATGTGACAAATTCTGCTCTAGGCAGGGACCACAGATACAAAATTTGTTACTCAGGACTCCAAATCCATCCTGAACCAGCTCCTCCTGCCTTGTCCCTCACTACTTCAGAGATGTTCCTCATCCCCGTTAGGCTGTAAAGCCCTTGAGAGCTGCAGGTGCTTCTCAGCTCCTACAACCACAAAATAACCACAGCCCAAGTCTTTCAGTGCCTAAAGTCTTCTGAGATGGAGAAACTTTGGAGGAAACCACTGAAGAACCCAGATTTTTGTGACACAGAGCACTTGAAGCTAAAGATATCAAATCAAAGTAGAGTCTGGTGCTTCCTATCACCAAAAAAGCCACATTTTTCAGGGCATTTTGCTCTCTGTGGGTTTTTCTGAGGAACCCAACATCTGATCTGGGTCCTCTCCTCTAGGTGCTCTCTTCCACGCCCTCAGCAGACACCTCAAAGTGTGTGCTACAACCACACTGATGTATTTTGGTGCCATCACACCCCAACAGCCCCTCTTCAGTCTGGGAAGCCCTCGTCACCCTGTCTGTGTGACATTCCTGCTAAAATTCCTTAAAACCTCACTAAAAAAGAGAAATTATTCAGCTTCTCCCAGCACAGCTCCAATGGGATGTCAGCAGGCTCAGGCAAAAAAGTCACCCTGTGAAAACAGACACCATCCTCACTAATGAGCCAGAAAAAGTCCTTTTTAAACAAACACAGCAATTTTCCTGCTAAAGCAAACTTTATTCTCTTGCTTTGCCCATCATGACCTGATGCTTTGTTTGCACTAATTCGCGTCTGACAGTTGTGAAATTTATCTTTAGGAGGAAGCATCACTTTTAGTCTCACATTTCAGGATGCTGGACAAATCCAACCCACAGGATTTGTGTTCCTCTCTGAAAAGAAAACCAAACAAGCCACCACCTGTTTCTCCCCTGCAGAGTCTGCTCAGCAAGGAGGGAAGAACTGAAAATGTCCTTGCAAAAGAAGGAAATAAATAGGAGTTAAAAAATCCTGACAGCTCCATAGACAGGCATGGATAAAATCAGAGCTGGCACTGTCTGGATCTGAGAATATCCCAATGAACAGTCACAGATCCTGGACTGATCCCGCTCACAAATTACCTTGGAGAACAGGAGAATATATCCAGAACACCAACAAAGCTTGGGACCATCAATTTTTGTCCAAGAGGTTGGTGTGATGGTAGAAACAAGGGACAGAAAGGATGGAGGGAGGATCATGGAACCATGGAATGGAATCACAGAACGGTTTGGGTTGGAAGGGACCTCTATGATCATGGAACTCCACCCCCTGCCATGGGCAGCAGCACTTTCCACTGGATCAGGTTGCTCCAACTCCAGTCCATCCTGGCCTTGGACACTTCGAGGAATGAGTATCCACAACTTTTTTGGGTAATCTGTTCCAGTGCCTCACTTTGATCCTTACAGTCCCTTCTAACCCAAAGCATTCCATGATTCCATGATAAACAACAACCCTGGAGTATCTGGGTCTCCAGCAGTGTCCCAGCCCATCTTTCCCATTTCTAAAACTGGATAAATCCCACATGTAACATTTTTGGAGAGCTCCCACACACGCTGCATGGAACTGACATCTAGGGCTAAGTATCAAAAAAAGGTGCAGAAAGTTAAAAATAATGCTAAGAAAAAAAAAAAGAAAAGTGAGATAGAGCATGAACATGAAAAAGTGAGAGTGGGAATTTGCATTAAAGGAATGACAGGGTTTAATCAGACTCTGCCTTGTGAAACTTCCTAAAGAGCCTGACCTGACAATCTCAATGACACTAGCACCATCCTGAACATATGGAAAATTCCAAATACAGATTTTTTTTTTTCCTGGCAAAAGTCAGAGACATGGCTTTCAGAGGGAAGAGGGCACATCCTATCCCAGCACGCTGCATGTCCTGAAGGAGTCTGGATAAATCCTAGCAGGAACTCACCCAAATCCATGCAAGTGACAGCAGCCAACAGCAGAGACAGAAACACCTTCATCTTGCACAGCCCTCGCTGTCTGGTCACTGGGTTGTCACCTCTCTTCACCGATGCCACACGTCCCGGTGATTTGCCATGCAACGATTCCGTCCCCAGATCCAAATCTACTGGAAAAACTACTCTCATTGAGCTATAAATGAACTGAAGGAGCTCCAAAGCAGGCCCCACCTCCTGCTACTCCGTCATGTCTTTTCATGTTCCTTGGAGAAGAAAATTCATTTTTGCAGGGTGGACAATGGCTGGGATTGGTTAAGCCCGGTGTTTTGTGTCCAAGCAGGATGTGGAAGGCCTGGGGTGTTAAGTAATCCTGGTGTCCAGGTCTTGTCTTGCAGCTTGGGGATATTTCCTTATTTCCTCTCCTTTCTTGGGAGTGGTTTCAAGAACTCCTGGATAAAAATGCCTTGGGTGTGAACATCAAGGAATTGAACCTCATGGGTATTTCTCCTCTGCGTTTTCACCTTCAGTGCGGTCCAGAGTTTATCAGGAGGAGGAGAATCATGGAATGGTTTGGATTGGAAGGGATCATCTCATTCCAAACCCTCTCCATGGGCAGGGACAACTTACGCTAGACCAGGTTGCTCCAAGCGTTGTCCAGCCTGGTCTAGAAGCAGAAATCTGACTTTCAATCACTCACTCACTGGAAAAAGCATTGAGGAATAGAAAATAAACAGGACCAGGACCCAAAAGTTTGGGCCAAAGGAATCTCTCAGGCTCATTATCCCAAGGAAGGATGGAATGGAGAAGCCCCTCTGCTCTGAGCCAACCCTCTCCAAACGTGGTTGCAAGCTCAAGACATTTTTGCTTCCCAAACACTTTTCCCATTCCCAACTCTGCTGCCCCAGGCATCTGCTGGATTTTCCTGCACTTCAGGCCAGCTCTATGCTAGGAAATCCTCCTCCAATATGGGACGAGCAAAGTGTGGAATTGCAAAAACTGGGAACGAAGAGCCTTTAGGTGGCTATGCCAGGCACCTTCCCAACACAGACTTTTACTAAGGAATGGAGAAAAGCTGAATCCAAGATGGAGTTGGAGATATCCCTACCACCTTTGTTATTCCACCGTCAAAGGAACTTTATTCAGGGTAATTTGTGTGAACTCTTGGAATGATAGAGCCATTAAGGTTGGAAAAGATGTCAGGATCATCACATCCAGAGTCAAACCAGCACCACCACCATTTTCTCCACCAAACCCTCTCCTCAAGTGCCATTTTTGAGCTCTTCCAGGGTTGTGACTCCATCACTACTACCCTGGAGCCTGATCCAATGCCTGACAACCCTTTCTGCAATGAAATTTTCCCTAATATCCAATCCAAACTTTCCCTGGTGCAACTTGAGGCCAATTTGTTTTGCCCTGCCTTGGAATGTTAAAAGTTTTTCTAGGAATGCTGGATAAAAAAATCCAATCATCATCTCTCCAAATCTAAAGCTCCAGAATCATGGAATGGCTTGGATTGGAAGGGAATTTAAAGACCATCCAGTCCCAACCTCCTGCCATGGGCAGGGACAACTTCCACTATTCCAGGCTGCTCCAAACCCCATCCAACCTGGCCTTGTACACTTCCAGGGATGGGACAGCCACAGCTTCTCTCAAATTCCATTCCAGGGCCTGCCCACCCTCACAGGGAAGAATTTCTCCCTAATATCCAACCTAAAGGTGGTCTCAGCATTTCAGCAATCCCTGCAGCTTTTCCAAACACCATTTCTGGGAGACTTCCAACCTCGGGAATTCCGACAGGTTGTTTTCACAGTTGCCTCACTAATACAGTAATTATGTGGATTATGAGAGCTAAGCAGTTATTTGCAGCCCCAAAAATTACCTAGGGAAAGACATTTAGGTATATTCCACGTCTGGCATTCCTCATGTTCAGCAGAAAATATTATAATCCTATTAAAAAGGCGAAATCCTCTGACGGTGTTTGCCTTGTTCTCAATGAACAAAAAAAAAAGAAAAAAACATGAATGGGGTGTGGCTTCTGGTTTCTGGTATTAAGTGGCCTCGAACAATATGTGTTAAATGACTGGTTCCACCTGCACAGCTGAAATGTGATCTCCCTCGCCTTAGAAAATCTTGGATGGAAGAATCTCTGCCACCACCCTGCTCTAAATCCTCTTCCCTCCTTCGCTCCGCAGGGTGGTTTTGGGGGGATGTCAACACACCTTGTTTATGGTTTCAGTTGATCTTATCTGAACCCTGAAATGTCTCCTCTTTTATGCACACCCTGTGCTGCTGCTTTGCAAGGCTGGCAACTCACCCAAAAAAAAAAAAATTAACAAGAACTAATGAGAATATTCAAGCATTGTTTTGTTGAATTCCTTTTATTATTTTGTAGGAAACCGCAACCTGTCCTACGGGGAGGGTTTCCCACTAATTGCTGGAAAAAAATAAAAAGACACACAATAGGCATAAATCTGCCTTGTCACAAGTTGGATTTAAAAAAAATTATACATGTTTTAGTGTATCTGTTCAAAGGAAAATTAATACAAAAACTCTCACTCTTCAGATAAGTTTGTTGTCATAAATAAGAGGAAAAGTTCAACCAAATATTTACTTTCAGCCTGGAAATCCCGTGCCAAACTCTTTTCCTGTCCTACCTTGCCAGTTGAGGCAGTCTCAGGGTGGAGGCATCTTCACCAGCCCTGCCTCACTTGCATCCAAGCCCGGAAATCTCCAAATCCCACAAACTCCCAGGCTGCCCAATTCCACTGCAAATCCTAAAATTCCCCATCCACCTCCAGGGCAGAGTTTCAGGGACCAAGGGCTACAGGCACTGAGAGCCTGCTTGACTTAATTACTTTGAACTCTCCATATTCATTACTCTAATGAGCTCTTGATGTATCTCTCATGAATCCCAAATTTCCAGAGCTGGCAGATGCAGGAGTGAAAGATGGGATTGGATTTAAGGGTGGAGGGGTGCTGACATGACCCTGGCACGTGCTAGTGCCAAGATGCTTTGGAAGAGGATTTAAAGATCATCCCATTCCAACCCTTGCCATGGGCAGGGATGCCTTCCACTATCCCAGGTTGCTCCAACCAGGCCTTGGATACCTTCAGGAATGGGGCAGCCACAGCTTCTCTGGGAATTCCATTCCAGACCCTCACCACCCTCACAAGGAGGGATTTCTTCCCAATATCCCAATTCCTGTTTAAAGCCATTCCCTGTGCCCTGTCCCTCCACCTCTTTTCCAAAATCCCTCTCCAGCTCTCCTGGAGCCCCTTCAGGCACTGGAAGGGGTTCTGAGGTCTCCCTGGAGCCTTCACTTCCCCAGGCTGGACATTCCCAGCTCTCCCAGCCTGGCTCCAGAGCAGAGGGGCTCCAGCCCTTGGAGCATCTCCGTGGCCTCGTCTGGATTTGCTCCAGCATCTCCATGGGTCAGGGATGAAAGGCTCTCATGGAAGCACCAAGGATGGGTTACTCCGACACTGAACTGCTGCTGGGAAGATGCCAGGGATTAAATCACCATGAATTTTGCCTCTTGGGACACCACAGCCCCCACCTGTCCCTCACAGAAACAAAAAATTCTCCGGAGCTGAGGTTCTCACACCAGAAAGAGAGGAATTAAACAGGTGTTCCTGCCCTTCTCCATCTCCTCCATTGATGAGGAATGTCTTTAAAAGTTAAACAGAATGCTGGAAAAACAAAGTAAAAAATAGAGAATGCCAAGCCTGACTCTGGCCTATCCCTGTGAATGGTGAGTCAGGAATCCAACCCTGCAGCTCTTTTAGAGCCATTTTCACTAAGGCACCACTCATTAGCTCATTAGTCACAGCAGCCTTATTCCTGCTAATTGATTTTACTACAATCCCCTACAATGTATGGCCAGGATCCAACATGTCTCTGCCTGGCTCAAAAACCATTACATTGGCACAGCTTTGGAGTCACTTCATCCCTCTTCCAAACCTCTGGAATATGTAAACATCAGGTGATTCCCATAACTGAGCTTCTGGAAGGTGCCCTCAGGGAAAGGACATGTGTCCCCTCGGTGGGACAAGGCTCAAAGGACCCAGCTGAGCAGAGAGTTGTGGCTTTCACACCTGGGAACGGGTGGGTTTGGCACAGATTGGAGCTGCAGGAAGTTTGGAGCTCTCTCCACATTGATTTTCGCCTCGGCACTGAGCTGGAACAAAGAATCATGGAAAGGTTTGGGTTGGAAGGGACCTTCAAGATTATCTCATTCCTAACTCCTGCCATGAGCAGGGACCCCTTCCACTCTCCCAGGTTGATCCAAGCCCCATCCAACCTGGCCTTGGACACTTACAGGGATCCGGGGGCAGCCACAGCTTCTCTGGGGAGCTTGTGCATCACCACCCTCCAGGGAAGAATTCCTTCCCAGTATCCCATCTATCCCTACCCTCTGGCAGTGGGAAGCCATTCCCTGTGTCCTGTCCCTCCATCCCTTGATCCAAGTCCCTCTCCAGCTCTCCTGGGGCCCCTTCAGGCACTGGAAGGGGCTCTGAGGTCTCCCTGGAGCCTTCTCATTTCCAGGTTGGGCATTCCCAGCTTTCCTAGCCTGGCTCCAGAGCAGAGGGGCTCCAGCCCTTGGAGCATCACCTTGGTCTCCTCTGGACCTGCTCCAGCATCTCCAGGTCCTTGTGCTGAGGCCCTCAGAGCTGGATACAGAACTCCAGGAGGGAGTGGAGCAGAGGGAGGGAATCCCATCCCTGGACCTGCTGGTCACATTCCTTTTGATGCATCCCAGAGTTCTGCTGTGTCCTGGCTCCAACAGGCACCTGAGAGAATGTGATTAAAGCCAGACCCAGGTCAGACGGGTCAGACCACCCCACAAAGGGTTCTGTGAATCTGCTGCTCATCCCAGGTTCCCACCACACCTCGCTGTGTCCCCCTCTCTGCCCCAGCCATGTGCTGTGAGCTGCACCTGGGGCTCAGAGAAACTTTGGATGTTCCCCAGAAGAAAAAGGTAGGAACAAGATGGTTTATTTTTATAAGGAGTCCTGTTCCTTCCAGGTAATCCTTCACCTGCCTTTTTATTTTTTTTTTTCCCCAACCTGTTTTTCTCCCTCTCTGAATTCCATGCAGGTACCTCTTATCTCCAGGTTATTATTTAGATTAACCTCTGTGTAGCTCTTAACTCTTTCAGGGTGAGACCTGCACGTCCGTCCCTTCCCTGCCCAGTGGCCAGCACATGGA